TAATAAACGCCCCTCCCCGGATATAGACTTGGGGGTAAAAGTGCATAGAATAATTTACGGTGATACCAAATATTCAACTGTTACGTATGTATTCCTTAGCCCCGCCCACCTCCGTCAAAACTTTAAAATGCCAAAATAGAATAATGCAAATATTTAAAGGACATGCCGCCAATCTCTCATTGGTCAAACTGCTAATTTCCATTCTCTCATTGGTTGAACTGCTAATTATGATGGACAGTCCAAGGGCGTGGAAGAAGAGCAGATGTTGTTCACGATGGCAACACGCACAGGACCACATGTCATGTGTGCTCGTGACCGGCTAAGCATATTTGTCTACCGTTCTTCTATCTCATGAGCTGTCATAATTAATGCTATATCTATATGTCTTTATATATGCACCTTCCGCTGCCTTTTCTGATAAAAGCTGTTTTTGTTACATCATTAGACCCTTGTTCACACTGTACAACCTCTTTAAGGTCATTGATAGGTCAGAAAAGTAAAAAAAAAAAACTCTGGACAGCTAATACAAAACATGTTACACATTGTCAAATCTGTGTTAGTTACGTGGTCGATAAAGACGGATAGGTTTTACTTCACCTGCAGGTATAAGAATGTTGTCCAGTTTAAAAATGTCCTTACTTATAACGACTTGCTCCTAAAAGATGAAGCTAAAAACTGTAGTTTTTTTGAAGGAAAAAAAGCCAAAAGTGCGATGTTGTAACCTTTGTTACCGTAATTCTGTACATTTCAATGGGAATGAGCCTAAAATGGTGAGAATGACTTTACCTCCTCAAGGTCTTAATTGTACCAAACTTGCGTTAGATGTATATCTTCTGTGCTCTGCCCTTCACGTTTATATAAATCGCAGCTGTTTTCTGAGTCATAAGACCTTGAAGGTCCTCTGTTTTATATGCTCTTACAAATCGTTCCCGTGTGAAAGGATTTATTTATAAGGAGTAAATCGTCAAACCAAGGACTGTGTAATGTCCTTGTTCAAACCAAAACCTCAGTAATCGGTATTACTTTCTGTCAAATTGCCGAACTTTGTTGTACAAGAAAACTTTTGTTATTGTCATCACGACGTGTTTTCATCAAGCTAGGCTAGGTCATAGATTAAACTTTCTGTCTAATCCAGGTACGGATAGTAGTTGATTAGTCATAGTACTTAATTTTCTGAAGTGCCTATTGTACTTCTCTGTCGTCGGGCTGTTTTCCTGTTTAATGAAATGTTTATATTCAAATCCACCATGGCTCGTGACGTACGTAGATACACGTGTGACATGTGATGGTGTATCAGGCGCGAAATAGTTCAAAGGTCACGACCTGCAGCAGCAGTAATGGCGGCGTACATCGGTAGCATGGAGGGCGCGATCCAAACCGTTCGCGAGGCCATAAAACACATTTTTGTACCTTATAACCTGTCCAATATCCTACTAGGCGTGTCGTTTCTGGTGATGAAGACTGTTCCACCCGTGTGCACCTGGCTGTTCCCTGCCCGTGACGATCTAGGCCCGTGCGAACTGGACTGGCGAGAGCAAGAGATTCTCATGTTTTTGCTGTTGGCCATCTTTGCTAAGACCCGCCGTGCTACTAGCATGCACCAGTACGCCAGTACAACCTATCTGTTCTCCAAGGCGGCCAATTTCATATTATACATGCGCGTAGACCCGCGGTTTGGCGCGATCTTCGCCATTCTGTGCCTGGTGGTGTTCCTGATCTTCCCTAAACCGGCTTATACCGGGGAGGACACGATCAAGTTCTACTCCCCGGACAGTCTGGAGGAGACACTTGCCCTGGCCAAGGGGAAGCGGCACGCCACCTACCTGCTGATGGAGTACTACACGGCGTGGTCCCCGGACTGCAGGAGTCTGGCACCTGTTTTTGCAGACCTCTCGAACAGGTGTGTATGTGGTCATTATTTTAGGCCACACTGGTTTGATTATATGGATGATGGCATCCTCCAGGCACCCCCAAAACTTACCATTATTATGAGATCTAACTTAGTGATCAGGAAGGTTGACTGAAAACACAGAACATGCTATACCAAACAATACATTCTTTATTATTGTTCATTTCCATCTTCTTTGGTGAAGCCCTGCTTCCCTTTCTCTGCCATCTTCTTTTCCTTTCGACCTCTGACATCCTTCAAGTATTAAAGTTAAGAAGCAGTATGTTTGCAAGCTTTTTCCTTGGTGATGCAAGCAAGTGGTAATTCGAGCCCTGCTTCCCTTTCTCTGGCATCTTCTTTTCGAATTATAATTCCTTTTGACCTCTGGCATCCTTCAAGTATTAAAGTTAGAAGCAGTATGTTTGCAAACTTTTTCCTTGGAAATGGACAAATATTTAAACACGCACAGATGTCATCCATGTAATCAAGTCAGTGAGGTCTGGTCTTAAGTTCACTATGGCTGCTTGCATCAAAATGTTACTAGTACACTCAGGTGCAAATGTATTCTTCTTCAGACATAATGAGTAGTGAATCTTACCATTCACAATCTAGCTCTTCCTTTCATCTTACAAGTTACATGTATGTGTGTGTGTGTGTTTTTTTCCAGATATAACAGTAAGAACCTACAGTTTGGAAAGCTGGACCTGGGCAGGTATCCAGCCATGGGCAACAAGTACAGGATTGACACGGGCGGCATGAGTAAGGAGCTGCCCACCCTGGTTCTGTACGAGAACGGTCGGGAGAAGATGCGCCGACCTGGCCACGACGTGAAGGGCAAGGTGGTGAAGTATTCCTTCTCCGAAAACGACATTGTGCGTGACTTTGACCTTCGAGACATCTATGATCGCTCCAAGGCAAAGGTCAAGGAAGCCAAAGTGGAGAAGATTGCGGATGGGGTAGAAGAAGTCACGGACACAACCAAGGACAAAACAGAGTAAATGTCAAAAATGTAGTAAAGAATGACTGGAGAGACTAGAATTGCATTGTTTAGGAGTTATAGATAACAGTCATGGTTGTCTCCAAAACTGATTTATGAAGGGTGCAGTCTTCACAGTTGCTTATGGTTACAGAAGTATTGTTTTGGGTGCCTGAACTGTAAGTTTGTGTGTCCGTTTGTTTGGACAGAGTTGGTTGGCAGCATGTGGGAGGGGGAAGATTGACAGGCAGAATGACAGGTCAGAAGTCAAACACAAGGAATGAGGTGAGCTTGAGAATAGGTTGAGAGTTTGTGGGTAGGGGAAGATAGGCAGATTGACAAAGAAGAAGGCAAAAGGTCAGACACAGGAAATGGGGTAAACTTCAAGTTTTCAGTTACGAAAACCCAGAATAGTTCTCAGAAGTCTTGTTACCTTTGCTGAATGGACTGGTATATTTATGTATATGTCAAATTTTTGCTTTATATGTGAACATTGCTCAATGCACATTATTGTGATTTAAGTAGCCCACTCCAACTGCAATAGTCTAACTAGTCACATAGCATATTAGAATGGTCCATTGCAACATATGATGCCAGACTGCAGAACAGTTTTGTTAGTAACCTTTATTGTACTGAGAAACAATGGACAGGTAGTAATAATATGCAGAACTTTCATGGCATGCTGAAGGTTACTAAATGTTGTCAGCCTGCCTTAGCTACATGTACACTGATTGTATTAAAGTATTTGACAACACATTCCTTACAGTCTACTTTCGTGTATTACTTCATATCAAAGTCAAGCCTCTACCATAGGTTACAAACTGTACCGTCTAACTCCTCTGGAATACTATCGGTCTCTTTGGCCTTGGCTGCATCGTGCGATTCTCAAAGATGGCAGAGTGCTTTGTCAAAGTTGGATCATGCGGAAGTTGAGGCGTTGTATGTGTTGTCGTTTTGTTCAGGGAAGACTGCCATCGCCACTGCCTGTTAGGTTAGAAACAAGTTTGTAAAGGTGCAGTCCATTGGAAAATTTAAGTTTCTGCAACACTTTTTGGTGCCTGCACATTGTCCCTAGAATTGCCTCAATGTATGGTGCAACCACATTCGTCATATATAGGCCGTTGTACTATGCTTTATAAGTTGGTGGTGACAAAACCAACCAAAGGCAAGGATCTAATTAAGTCAGTGATTTCTATACCAAAACAGATGGATTTGGCAGAGATATGCAAGACTTTTCCAGCAATACAATCACCTTGCAATCATATAACAATTGTATGACGAATTGAGGCCAGGTCTTTAACAGGTATGTGATGAGATAGTATTGGGACTTATATAATTGATCTCTGTTACAGTAGAGAAATCTGGGAGGGTGGTACTGGTAATGGATAACGTCTCTTACCAGGATCATCGGTGTACACCCAGCTGAAGCGGAAACCTCGGTCCACTGTGTCCGCGTCCGTCTTGAACCTGATAGTGACGTCCTCGTCGTAGGAAATCACCGTGGGGGGAAGGGTGTCGCCACAGAAACGCCCTGTGATCATGATACGGAAAACGATCCGTCGGTCAAATTTCACAGAAAGAGGAAATACGGGACGGACCGGAAAGTTTTTTGTTGTTTTTTTTTGTACAAAAACTACACGGGAAGGATGTTGGAGTACGAATGTTTATACTGTCGGCGTCACGAGGCAATTATGTGTCCTTGTCAATCCTAAGTAAAGGCCGATCCTCTGTGCTGATTTGCCAGGCTCGATTTGTCCTTGTCGAACCTAACTAAAGGCCACTCCTCTATGCTGATTGGTTCTTGTGTGATAGCTGTATGGATAAACCTTATTGGTTGGAGACAGACATAATCGTAGACACGCATAAAAACTTACCAACACGTTCGTTTCCCTTGAAAATGTCGACGTAGTCGTACGAACACCCATCGTATATGGTCGACTTCTCCAGGGCGAAGTCGTGGAACTGCAACACCAAGAAGTGGCTCTTCCCGGACATGGTCCAAGTGCAGTCGACGTTGTTCTCATAGGCGGTCGGGTAACTGTGTGGAGCATATGACAAGGACGACCAAATCTAAGTCGCTTGACGCAACTTTGAAGTTAGCAAGTATACAGGCATTACAGTACAGGTGTAATAGAAAGCGCAATCAAGTAGCTTGCAAACAGTATACAGATTCTGAAGTTGATGAGTACTACATGTAGGTCACGGTTTAATAGTTCACTCTACCGTTCAGTCGCCCATCTTATCTCTCTCTCTCTCTCTCTCTCTCTCTCTCTCTCCCTATCTAGAGAGAGAGAGAGTGTGAGTGAGTGAGTGAATCTAGAGAGAAAGAGAGAGAGAGAGAGTGAGTGAGTGAGTGAGTGAGTGAGTCAGTCAGTAAGTCAGTGAGTCAGTGAGTGAGTGAGTCAGTGAGTCAGTGAGTGAGTGAGTGAGTGAGTGAGTGAATGAGTGAAAGAGAGAGAGAGACTTATCCAGCTTACCCGGGAGATGATATTTCTCCGTCGTGCCCGTGCAGCTGGTCTCCACAGTAGTCCGGATGCCCGGGTCCAAAGTTATGATGGTCGCTTCCCTCCACCTTGTACTTGATATTGAAGCCTGTGCTGGTGATGCTGCCGTCCGAGACCAGGTGTAGCGTCACGTCGTCGTGGAACACACCCGGTCCAGGGTGTGAGGTACCGCACCAACGTCCTGAAAACACAACAGTCTGTCAGCCGTGACGGGGGGTGATATCGACTTCAGACCAACTTTGCACTATATATGGATCAATTCAGCGAACGGTGACGAAAAAAAATGTATGTATCGAAAACTCTAGAAACCAGACTCTAGTGCCCTGTCACCCCGTGGACGTACGTATATAGTATGAGTTGGAACTCACCAAGAGAATTGTACCCAGAGAAGATCTCCAGGTAATCATTTTCGCAGGTCCCAAAGACGGAATTCCCAGCTTGCAGACTGAAGTCCTGGAAAGTGATTTCGACGGTGCCGCCATGGGCCTGGATGGTCCAGAAACAGTCCAAGTTGTTGTCGTAGGGGGCCGGGTAGTCGGGGGTGTTGATTTGGCCGTGGTCGTGGTCGACGATTCCACCACAGTCTTGTTTGAGTGGCAGAAAATAGGGACAAATTCAACGCGGACATTCGTCGTAGGCCCTCGTATGGCTGATGTTGGCTGTGACTACATCAGCCATAGTAAGCATTCTCTACAACAAAACAGCTGGGTTTCGAACGATACATGGACGACTATCCCAAAATGCCTCAATTTGTGATCGTTCGATGACCATGCCATGACCATGAATGTTACCAGGCCCTACGTTACCAATTAAAATTTTGTAACAATGCGTAGCAGAAATGAAAGTTTACATTTACAAAAGTCGTTGATTTCCTGAAGAAAAAAAGAAGCGGTACTTACGTCTGCCACATTGTACTTGATTCCCCTCATAGACAGGGTCCAGGGAACACCAACCGCCGTCCCCGTTATGGTCCGTGTCCACGCACAAGTCCTGGTAATGGTGGTCGTAGTAGAAGGGGAACACACACTCCTCTGTAGCCGAATATAAAACACACATAAGAGAAAAAGTGGGATCATTCGTCTTCCACTGTCTCGGTAAAAGGATTCGAACCCAATAAGTTAGAATTTAGTGTTTAGTAGTTAGTGTAGTTGCATACCATATTGTTACCCATCCTGTTGTCCATCTTTTATTTTCATGTTACATGTACTTACAATTAGCCTACGGGCAGGAACTTGCAATAAACTTTCCTGCATATAAAAACGGACGATTCAGTCAAACCAGGCCAAAAGTTTTTCAAAGTTGCAGTCCCATTTGCTGAGGAGGAGGCGCCTTCGCCGAACCCTTCTTTTATGTCTTATATGGTGTAGTTGTCCAAGCTTTATCAACATGAAGAATGTAGATAGGTTTATCGATGGCGAATGACAGTCTAGCAAAAAGGAAACTCTGGCAAGAAGGATAAGCAGGATAAAGCTACTGACCTTCTCCGCATTCCTTCCAGTTGCCCACGTACACGGCGTCTAGAGAGCACCAGAGTGCGCCCAGGTCGTTCAGTATGCAGCTGGTGTACGTCACGTTCTCATATACAAACGGGAAATGGCACCCTTCTGCAGGTAAAACAGCGTCAAACAAAATGAACAAGACTATACAATGGCATTTATAGGGCTTCGTGTGTTTTCAAAAGATTTGTACGGTTTAACATACATGTACTAGTGCTTTGTGCATTTTGGATAAAATTCAAGACTGCGAATGGTTAGGCATCCCTGTTATAGTGAGAACTTATTAACTACTATACACACTTAATAGACACAGGTGAGGTTTGTGTGAGTGCAAAGTTTCCTAACTTGAGAGATAAAATGAACACCACGTACCTGGCTTGGTGTCGCCTGTAATCGGTATCTCTGAGGAAGGAAGTGAAAATATGGTTTCAAACATTTCATGTGGATTTCATATCAAAAGAAGCATATGAAACATGAAAGCTTAAAGGCGTTTAAAAAACATCTCGGAATCGTATTCATTAAGTTGCATATCCGATGTATGATGATACAACCTCAACCTAAGCCTACTAGTGTTACAAATATAACAAATGTTACAAATATAAAATTCCATCATTTTCTAAAAAAAAACAATCTGGATATTCTTATTAGATATGCATAGAAGGTATTATCTTCATAAACCACTATTATACTACATGTACTATGCTTTGCTTTCCACCCCGGCCGTGACATGTACATGTACCAAATGTCATACAGAGTTGTAGAGTTATATATAGAGGTTTAAAAAACAACAGTTCTCTAGGCAATGCATACGTGCAATTTTCTAAACATTTTCAGTACCGTTAAAAATGATCCACGCTTGAGGCTTCGTCAACCAAAACAAAGTAGCCCGCTTACCCTGAGCAGTAGCCGCTACTGCGAGCACAAAGATGAACAGCATCGTATCTGCTACGGTCTGTCTAAGCTTTAAGGTTCTGAATGCTGGATGATGTTTTACTGTGCTTATATACTACTGCTTACCGAGGCCAACCGTGTTTACCTCACACAGGAGCGGCCTAGCCTTGGATTATATAATCAACGAGATGCTAATTTGGGTTGCAAACAGCTAAATGTGTTTCATATACACATATATCTGTGACGTCAATCCTAGATATAAGAGAGATAGCGGGTTGGGTGAAATGTGAAGAGAGTGGCCTTTTCAAATAAACCGTTTCATTTGGAGACGTCAGGGCTCCACGAAACATGATGTTTAAGTGAGGACTTTTTAGCAGGGGTTGAAAATCTCTCGCATGAAGAAATAGCTGCAATTGCCTAATGTGGGCAACTACTGATGCAACCTAACCCATTTTCGATCTCCTTTAAATTTGCAGCTGTCAGGTGATGTCATGTTACGTAAAACACATGCAAAAACAGCGAGTGATTAATGACTTTCTCCCTTTGGGACAGAATTATAGCCTATATAACCAAGGACCATGCGGAAACACAGACACACTCACAAACAGACACACCAAAAACACTACCTCTAATTTCATGGGGTTGATATTAAGCCAAAACCTAAACCTCTATCTGCTTGAGGGGTAACGATGTCTGATATTTCTACGTACATAATTAATGAGGTCGGGGTTGTCTTCTTCTTTGGACTCAAGCTGATGAATAGTACTACGTTTTAATGATAAGTGGGTTTTGTGATTCTGATAGAAATGTATGTTTTATTTGGGAGAGTTTTTTTTAAATGATGAAAGCTGAGAGAGATCGTGGAAAACACATGATAACACCGGTCGATTTTTGTGACGACATCGGAAGCTGGAGGTCACAGTAGACAACAATTTGGTTTTCCCACGGGGTGTGATGTTACTCACGGTGTTTGTTTTACAATACAGTGAACATTAACAACATTCGAAGTAAATGTCAAGGGCCTTACTACTCAATGACAATGCCTTTCTAGATCTATCATGCCATAGATTATGTGTGTTTGTGCGTGCATAGTGTGTATGTTCCTTTCAGGTTGCACTAATAGTCAGAGGCATTGTAAGAAATGTGTCCACCTTACCTCTCACATGGTCATTTCAATTAGAACGAGTCGCCACTTAAACCCCTATAACACAAGACGGCGATCGACTGAGCGATCATTGAGCGACCAAAATTGGATTTGTGTGATCCTTCATTTTAAGAAATTTGGAATATGATTTAGAAGACAACAAAACGTTTGAAAATCACCTTTTGTGTGTGTGTGTGTGTGTGTGTGTGTTTGTGTGTGTTTGCTTTAAATAATACCTAAACACTGTACATCCTATCGATATCCCAATTATAAAATCAGGAGTCGCAAAAATCCAATGTTGGTCCCTCAACGGTTGCTCGGCCATCACGGTCTACTGAAAATAGATTTTTCTCCGTGCCAGTTCGTCTTCTACCATTCAGTGATGTGATGTGGGAGGCTGGCAGGTGTAGGGTCTACTTAACCCTTAATCTCTCCTCACCGGAATCACCCTCCCTGTAGGAAAACAAAACTGTTTAGCCACGGCGGAGGTGCTTACATGTGTTTTTCCACCTGTCTTTGCTCATAGTTATATAACCGACGAACGGACCCTGGCATCTAACTCTTTAAATTAACCTTAGGGTCGTTTGTTAGACCTTACTCTCTGTTGTCTTTTTTTAAAACCTAACGGCGTCTACAGTATACTCCTAGTCCTTACTTAAGCTAGCTTCTATCGTTTGTTGTCAACTCACCGGATTATTCATATTCTGATTGATGTAATCAAAAATACGTTACTGATATCTATAGCCTGGTTGATGTGATTAAAAATTCGCGAAGACGTACCTCAGATATAAGGTTTGATATAAGGACAATAATTTTTTTCTTATCTATAATCGTCCTTGGTATATGTATGCATTTCGTCATTTCGGCTGGTGACGTAAGTTCGGTGTCCTCGTGCGTAAGGGAAATTGGGGCATTATCCTCAGCCATCCAGAAGAAAACAAAGTCTTATCAAGAAGAGTTTGAGTGACCCGATGTGTTTGACTGATAACGTATGTCGTGGCGAGGCCTAGCCTCATTGCACCACTACCGGTTAGACCGAGGGGGTTATAGCAAGTTTCTCTAGCTACTCAGACTCCAATAACTTGCTGCAGAATAGTTAGATTGACCATGCACTATACATGAGAGAGAAAAAAGACTTTTTGGGGCTTGGGCCGCGAAAACACCCCTGTAGGCTGGCCCCACTGCAGGGAAAGTTGGATTTACGAATAACAGTAAATATGACGTCGGTAAAGTCACTTGATGTTTATACCTTGTAAACAGCACTAGTGTCAGATTTACAATAAAGGTAAATACAAGTCAACTCCCTTGATGTATACTTTGTAAACATCACCGGGCTTTACAATTGTAGTAAATAAAAGTCAAGTCCAATTGTTTCACATATTTCTTGGCATTTATTTCCATTAGTAAATCCATTTTTTTCGATAAGTGGGCTGTATAGAGAATGCAATCTCCAAGGAAATCTTTTGGTAGCCTAGACAGTGTCAAATTGGTCAGAAAGTATCAAACAAGCTACTTGGGTGCTGTCTTGGATACCGAAAGATCTGCTTGAAAATTATAGTGAACTAGAGTCCCACGATCTCATACCTTCGCCAAATGATTTTAATCTTTATGACTGACAAAGATGATTCCTCCTGGTTATGCAAATAGGATCCTCATTTGCATGAATTATATCAGTTGATCATATTCTCCATCAAAAGACAGCCTTATCTTAACAAAGAAAGCCATTCTATCATTTCTTCATAAATTATGCAAATGATTTGGATATTTGGTATTTGAATAAGTTATGTTTAATGATGTTCACCTTCACTTAACTTTCAAATACCCCAAGTATGAAATTCCAGGCAGTTAGCATTATGGAACAAGAACTCTGAGATTTCATACCTCCATGAAATATGTAGACTTTATGTAAATGTTTTGTTTCATTGAATATGGAAATAAGGTGGCAATTGATATAATGTAGTTCAATTTATGGTGTTCTAAACTCAACTTACAATATTTTCCGTGTCAAACTCCTATCCTTTGGCAATATTTCACTTAAACAGCCTCATTTAAACTTCCTCATTAATTATGCAAATTGCCTCTATATTAACATAATATATGCAAAGTGTTGTTAACATTTAAGTAACCTACATATGTCACAAGGTACAGAATTGCCATCATTCTCCATTAAGAAATCATATAATTTTCGCAATAATTATGCAAATTAGGTCATCATTTGCATAATTGGTATCTGTTGACGTTCTATCTGCCATAGATTACATATATTACATGTATGAAAGTACTATAATGTAATTATAGAATTTCCTCATTAATTATGCAAATCAGGTCCTCATTTGCATAATTTGCATTTAATCGTGTACATCTCTCTCTCAGCTACCTACTTACCAAAAATGATGACAACATGTTGTTCCTATCTGGACTTATTGGCTTTTAAAGATTTCGCCCGAAAGTCCCCTGCAGTTCCATAACAAGCAGGTAGGGGGACCGAACCCACACCACTTATTTCTGACAGGAAAAGCTATCTGTCACCAAAAAGTCAAGACCATAGCATGTTCAGGACAAAAGATACAAAAACCGGAAGTTCTGCTGCAGTACCAAGGTCATCCACCAGAAGCCCCATATTTGACCTTGACCTTCGTCTTCCTAAGACTTACCAACATACCAAATATCATCACAATCCATAAAGGCGTTATGAAGTTATGCTGACTACAAATGTGCGGAAACACAAACACACACACACACACACACACACACACACACACACACACACAGACACGCCAAAAACAATACTTCCATTTTTCATGGAGGTAATGAGCAAATATATACCGTAAGTTGAAAAAAACATTGGCAAACGATACCAATGTCATAGAATGCCATAATTAAACGAAAAAGACGAAAATATAAAGAAATGAATTTGAAGACTGTGTCATATGTTCAACCTTCAAAACCACGTACAGAGGAAGCCGCTTAGTTGCACCACGTATTTGTCAGCGCATTTGGTACAATTATCCAGGTGGTGCGACAAGGCGAAGGTCACAGCTAGTCTTCCAAGAGAGAATATGATAGTCGACATAGTTTCAGGAAATAATACATAGTGCCATTACATGTTCAAGTATAATCCCAATATTCAGATTCAGCCATTTATCTCATTTTATTTAAACAAAGGATGTAATAGTCAAAAACCGTGAAAACTACTTTCACTCTTTTTACAACTATTTCACTGCATACGCCGATACACACCTTAATACTTCTTATTCCAGTGACTGTAGTATTCTAGTGAATTACTAAAAGAAGACTTGTCTATATGTACTGAAGATTACTTTGTTATGGTAAAGATGACTTATTTGTACTAAAGTCGTTATCACCAATATAACTTGAACATTGAGACTTTATTATTTTTAATTTATTTCATGAAAAGTAATGTATGCCTATCTACCTAGCCGGCACCTTAAACTATGAAATGGGAACAACTGATATGCCGACACAGTTCATTTGTTTGGCGGGAATATAAAAGATTTTAATAACGGCATGGACTCAATACAAATTGGTAGACAGCTGTAGCAAATTGTGTACGGGTCACAAAGTTTGTTAACTGGTATGATGGTTATGATGGATCATCTTTCATCTTTCTTTCATGAAAGATGAAAGATGAAAGATTTGTACTAAAGTCGTTATCACCAATATCAGGGTTTTAAAATTGAATTTACTATCACAACTAAATGATCCATCATAACCATCATACCAGTTAACAAACTTTGTGACCCGTACACAATTTGCTACAGCTGTCTACCAATTTGTATTGAGTCCATGCCGTTATTAAAATCCTTTATATTCCCGCCAAACAAATGAACTGTGTCGGCATATCAGTTGTTCCCATTTCATAGTTTAAGGTGCCGGCTAGGTAGATAGGCATACATTACTTTTCATGAAATAAATTAAAAATAATAAAGTCTCAATGTTCAAGTGTAACCGTATGCAACAAGGGGCAAAATGTATATTCA